ATCTGATATTCCCTGACTCCAATTGGGTATTAAGTAAATTGACAAAAGAGAAATTAATTGGTAGAACTGTGGATTTTAACCAGTTTATAGAATAATCTGAAACTTTTGAAAAAGAGTTTATCAGTTCTATTGAATGAGAGAGAGACGACTGAGAATTCCGGAGAAAGAGTAAAACATCATCTGCATAAAGACTTATCTTATGTTCTATTTTCTTACACTTTATCCCTTTAATACCTGTTGTTTGCCTAATTGCTGCTGCTAGTGGTTCGATAAAGATAGCAAGCCGTGAGGGGGAGAGTGGGCATCCCTGCCTGGTCCCCCTCTGAAGACAGAAGCTAGCTGATATTTGGTCGTTTGTCCTGACACTTGCAGTTGGTGAACTGTATAATGTTTTTAGCATGTTTATGAAGAAGTTCCCAAACCCAAATGTATGTAAAGTTGCAAATAAGAACTTCCAGTTAACTATCAAAAGCCTTTTCTGCATCTAGAGATAATATACTAGTTTCCATGTTTCTACTGTAAGAGAAATCTATCAAATTAAGTAATCTACTTGAGTTAGTGGATGACTGTCTACCCTTGATGAAACCAGTTTGGTCAGGGTGTTACATTTACCTTTACCAGGGTTACCTTCTCTAATCTTTTTGCCAGGGCGTTACAAATTATTTTGAGATCAACATTAATAAGAGAAGCTTGGGCGATAGCTGGTAGGAAATGCAGGGTCTTTGCCTGGTTTTCACAAAAGACTAATATTGGCTGAATTCATGTTTGGCTGTAATCTGCCGCTCTCTTCGATATCCCTCACCATTCTGAAAAATATTGGAGCCAGAATGATCCAGAATTCTTTGTAGAACTCTGCTGGAAACTCATTTGGACCTGGAGCTTTCCTATTAGTCATGGATTTAAGGGCTTCCTGGAGCTCCGCTGATGTTAGTGGCAAGTCCAGGACTGTAACTTGGCTGTCTGATAATTTAGGAAGTTTTATCCTATCAAGGAACTCATTGATCTTGTTATCTGATGGGTTTATCTGTGGTGAGTACAGAGTTTGGTAAAAGTCTCTGAAAGTGTTGTTTATACTTTCAGGGTCATAAAATATATTCCCGGTTGAGTCTTTAACAGCAGATATGGTAGTTTTCTCTTTATTAATTTTTAACTGGCTAGCCAAAAATTTACCTGATTTATTACTATGTTCAAAGTTTTCTATTCGTAGTCTTTGTGCTAAAAATTGTGTCTTTTTGTCAATAATTCCATGAAGTTTTAATTTAGCTTTACGTAATTTGCTCATTAACTCTTCTTCAGTGGATGCCTCTAAAGACTGAATGATTTCCTCTAACTCCTGAACACGTTTGTTGGTAACACTTTACGATAAGGTACGCAAAATTGTGCTTAGTTACTAGGGAACGACTTAGGTGGTAATGAGTAATTAAACAGGGAAGAATAGGTAGTTAACCAGTAGTTACTGGTGAAAACATTTGCTGTTTTTTGTGCCCATAATCACTCATGTACTGTTTGACTATGTTAGTGGATTGCCAATTGCACTGAGTCCCAGCTGTACTGAGCCTATCTGTTAAAGTGTCCATCCAAAAATTAAAATCGCCTCCAAGTATAATTGGACAGTCCAAGTGTTCGGAGAGTACAGAGAAAAAATTATGAAAGAATGAAGGGTCATCAATATTTGGACAGTATATGCTGAGTGAGTGTGTGTGTGTGTGTGTGTGTGTGTGTGTGTGTGTGTGTGTGTGTGTGTGTGTGTGTGTGTGTGTGTGTGTGTGTGTGTGTGAGCCTGACGCAGTGTTGGAAAGTTGTGTGGTTGTGCCATACAGGTGTAAAGGTGTAGAAGCAGGTAAAGAGGAAAGGAAAATAACGATACAGGTTAAAAAAGAAGAAAGAACTAAAAAGAAAAGGTGATAGGGGTGTGAAGTGGTGATGAACAGGTGATCTTATCATCTAGAAAACGGATTTAGCAGCTGTTTAATCCTGACGTGATCAAACCCAGTAAATCCTGATAAGAATGATACATGTCTGACCTGATGTTGGGCTAATACAGCCAGTCAGTCACTCCTCTTTCCTTGTAAAGTTTATTGTCCACGTAAAGCTTATCCACCGAGATGACAGCTCTCTTCCCATCCTGGATAAACCTTTTGCGCAGCGGAAAGAGGACTCGGCACCGATCCAGGATTTCCTTAGGGAACTGGTCATTTACGCTGAAGGCTTTTCCTTTGAGCTCTCTTCCGTGACTTTTAACAAGATCTTTCTGCTTAAAATGTTCAAATTTAGCCACGATGGGACGAGGTCTTCTGCTGTCCACTCTTTTATTTCCAAGGCGGTGTACCCAGTGAAAGGTGATATTTTTTACCGTTTCTTCGGGTATCATCATTTGGGTCTGGAGAAAGTTTTTTATTGTTTGCTCGCAGTTCTCGTTCCCTCCCGCCTGCTCCGGCAGGCCTGCGAACACCAAATTATCCCTCATGCTACGGGCCTGAAGGTCCAAAACCGTCTCCTTCAGAATCTTGTTGTCCAGGGTGATCCGCGTCATTCCCTCTTCCAGGGAAGAAACAGACTCCCACAGAGACGCGTTCTCAGCGGTGAGCCGCTCCACCTGCTCCTGGCTGAACTCCAGAGACTGACGGAGGTTCTGAAACTCCTGGTGTAGAACCTCAAACAGATGAAGTCGCCCCTCAAATCCCAGAAGCTGTTTATCTATAGAATCTAATAATTCTAATATGTTCTTATGGGGAGATGAGGCCTCAGGTGAGTCCTGAGGACGGCTCCTCTTGGTCCCAGGTGTTTCGGGCTCAGCTGCTGATTTCTTTGGACCCATAACGAAAAACTTAAAAACTCTGTCAATATAGTCTTGTAAACTTTTTAAATTTTCTTCACTTACCTCCAGGTTGAGTGAGTTATAATTACCAGATTATTTTTGAGTTGTCAGTAGATAAATTTGGCGAAAATGCGTCTTAAGTGTGGATGTTTGTTAACGAGCTGCCATCTGCTTCAAACGCTGCCGGGTATCCGGTGCTCGGCCGTCAGCATCAGCGCATGCTCACCTCCCCCGGGGGCGGAGCTATTTGAATAGAAGAGTTCCCAGGCTGGTCAGGCCATCTGTTTGCAGTAACAATGTGAGCAGGATGCTGTTAAAGTTCACAAATGTTGTCATAACTCATTAAAGCAGTAATTAAACAAATAAATGATAATAGTAGATAATAATCTTCAGAGAACGGTTAAGATGCTGATGGCTGGAGAGGGTGCTCGCTGCAGAACCACAAAGGCGGTGCTGCACCATAAGGTGGAGCTGCACCAGGGTCAGCCCCGCCCATTCACGCAAACTCAGCCTAGCCCACACTGACTTCCGTTTTTGTTTTCCAACTTCATCGCAAACTAACCTGACCCACATGAATTATGGCTGTTACTACTTTACAAATGTTAATGCTATGTTCTATGCTCCAATTAAACAAGATAAATATAACTTGCTACATGACAAAGCCTGAATACATCTTGAAATGAAACGATTTCTTTTAGCAGATATCCGCCCACAGCCGCTCTAACAATAATGTGGTGCAACAGCATGGGTGATTGTCATATGTTCTCTGGTAGTCCAGTGGTAAGATCATCTGAAGTAAATTTTGCTTCCCCCTCAGCAGATGCTGGTTCGATTCTCGGTGAGGTCGGCATCAATCTATTTAGCCAGCTGAAACATTGAATTTGTTTATATTTTAGTTGTAATGTTTATTTTCAGCAAAATATTTATGTCTCTAAAAGTTCTTTGAATTTGGTCGTTCCTAAACAGCATTTTAGTTGAAACTCTGCTCACAAATGGACTCACAATGGCTAAATAAACGAATAAATAAATAAACACATTAGTCATTATATTGTAAACGGTATACCAGTAAATTGTTGTAAACAGTACTGGCAAGTGTAGCTAGAAATTAAGAAAAGGAGTTGTAATCTACCTAGGATTTCTGCCACTGGGAGTCGAACCTGCGCAAAACTGCATGCAAACCTGCCTCCATAGCCTCTACCCCACCACATCTGATATGAAGTAAGTGGCGTTACATGTAATTGTCCTATCCAGTGTGTCTTTGGAGATGGGGATGTATGGTTTATTGGCGGTGTCTCAGTAGAAGTCATTTCAGAAATAATTTGTCAGAAAATTCACAGAATATCCAGATTTGAGAACCAAGACCAGACCCACTTCAGGGGAGGAGACCAAATTGAAGCTGAGATGGGAGGAAAATGCATGAATGAGGCCAAAAATGGCTTTGGCGTGTTTCTTATGAGGAAATGACAATATAACATGATAAAAAGTTCCAAAAGTTAGATTTTTAATTATATGGAACCTTTACAAAAACTGTTCAGTTAACTTCTCACCTCCGTCCTCAATCTTGTATTTTTTAGCTATAAAACCCTCTTTGGTTCCAGAATGCTATCGAGTCTGACAACTGGAAGGAATTGTACTGACTCTGATGGAATGGACGGGGCTGACTCTGGAATGGGCGGGGCTGACCCTGGTGCAGCTCCACCTTCTGGTGCAGCTCCACCTTTGTGGTTCTGCAGCGAGCACCACTTGGATGGCTGCAGACCGGAAGGATCTCCTGTAGCATCAGCAGGTCTAAAGATGCCTCTGACTGAAGATGCTCTGTTGTTGCATGAAGATGAAGCTCAGGGTCGTCCATCATTCGTCCTCCGGTGGTCCCACAGCAGTCCCCAGAACATAAGCAGCCTTTTCTGGTCCCTGGCTCTGATGCTGCTACCCCAACATGTGATGGCCAAAGAGATCACTCTCCACTACCAGCTTATAGAAGATGTGCAGCATCTTGCTGCAAACCCTGAACAACTTGAGCTTCCTCACGAGGTGCAGGTGCTTCAGGCTTTGCGGCAAGTTTAACCAACAAGATACAAAAGAACATTTGTTCAGCAGCTATCTGATGGATAACAGTTGAGATGTGATAAACCGACAACAGCTCTCTTCCTTATCATGTCTGTTTGGTGTGTTTCTTAAACAGGCCCATCTCGTGTCGGAGGGTTGAAGAAGGACTGGGCTTCTCCAAGCAGCATCGCACTCTCCTGGCAGCAGCCTGAACAAATGCTTCCTGTTGCTGAATATGAGATAAAATATTATGAGAAGGTAAAGTGGTGCACTATGTTTAAGACCAGCCTTTGAACTTGTGATCATTAACTTTAGTTTAACTTAGCTTAAAGACTCCGCATGAAAACTGGGCAGCTACATTTTACCATCCTTATGAATGTGAACTGGGTGCACTTTTTCAGTTTCTTAAGGAATTTAGTCATAAATCATTATAGAAAATCAAAACTCTCTCCTCTAAACAGCAAAGAGCCGAGGTTCAGACCCGTCACTTAGACGTCTCACAGGGAAGCTGCTGCCGTCGCTAGTCCCTCATGATTAGCTTTATTTTGTTCAAATTCCTGCTGTCAATTATTATGGAAAATTGCGTTTCCAGCTGCAGCAAAACGTCCGAGCCACATGTTCGAGTCCTTCATGCATTTCATACTAACATAGGTTTGATCTAAAATCATAACCTACATCTGTTACTCCATTCGGAACTGCTACGGTCCTTCTGGACCCCTGGTGATTCCTGTTAGCATGACCGCAGCAACACAGCTAACTGTGTTAGCTTCGGTAAGGAAAGAGCAAGTAATTTGGTAAAGCTACGATACACACACACACACAGATATGATGTAAATCAGAGTTCGGTTGAACATCTCTGGCAATCCAGTAGGGCTGCTCAATTAATCGAATTTTAATCACGATTACAATCTGAGTTTTGAACGATTATAAAAACAAAACAAGCCGATTATTTGCTCCTCCCACTTGTGCTGCCCCGACTTGCAAATGAAGCGCTCCTCCTAGGGTGTTGCCAACTTGGCGACTTTGACGCTATTTCTAACAGCTTTTCAGACCCCCTTCTTGACTTTTTAAATCTTAAAAGTACCTAGCGAACACCTCAGAAACATCTCTGGTAACCCTTAGCTACTTTCTGGATAACTGTCGTTGACATTTCCTGCAGGTTAGCTAAACACTAAGCCTGCTCTCCGGACCGTTCTTCAGGACATTAGGAAAGGGAATGATGCAGTAATGTGTCAGTCGCTAAAGAAACGGCTCTCAGAGTCGGCTCTGTTGAGTGAGTGAGTGACACACACCGCACCTGCGGACTCCTGAGCCACTAAAAACAGCTAAATGTGCGCGTGCGGTGTGCTAAACACACGTGCAGCTTGCCCCGATTGCTGTGAGACCGGGTTGGGGGGTGGGGGGGTGCAGCTGTGGTTGGGACAATTATTACATTAAAAGATGGACCTGTAAATGAATAGTTTATAAATAAGGTAGAAATAACTTCCTGATAAATAATAACTAATCTCTCTGAGGACACGGTGCTAGTGCACTCTCCTACAGCACCTTGACACGACTAAATAAATGTTATGCAACATTTTGTGAACATCAATTTATTCATCAATTTATTTGCATTTATTTGTTATATACTGTATAATTCTTGTTGTCAGTATTTGCAAGATATTTGTATTTGGGTCTGTACTGGTTAGACTTAAATGAGTTAAACCAAGGTCTATAGCCCTTGGGTCATAGACTATGAGCTATAAGTATGTTGGTCTTTTTATACTGGGAATCAGGAGTTATTTTAGTGATCATCTTGTTTCTTATTTATTTTTGTCCTGATTGTGCCCTGAGCAATTTTATGACTGAATAAAAACAAATAAAATCAACATAAATTGAAAAATCGTCTTAAATAATCGAGATCTCAATTTCAGTCACCATAATTGTGATTATTATTTTTGCCATAATCGAGCAGCCCTACAATCCAGTATCCGTTCTCGTCGTCGTATCCTAGAAAAAAGAATCTGACAGACTAGCAGAGGATTCAGACACTACATCTGACTGATGAGTCATTGTCGTCTGACGCTAATGCAGAAACCCCGTAGCTCTGTTTACGTTTGTGTTTAACCCTAACCCACGTCATCAGCTGGTCTGGGCTTAGACCTGAAGATACCTTCTGTTTTGAGAGCTTGTTTTAAAAACACAGCTGAGGTTTAAATACTGTTTTATACATGCCATTCAGAGGAGTTTAAAATGGTGTGACTACATGAGTTGATCTGTGAAGCTTTGTTGTGATTGGTTGTAGAGAAAATAAAAGTCTGACATTCAGAGCACAAGACACCTGCAGCAAAACTGATGCATCTTCTTCAACTTGAAGGCTTTTTGCAGCTGTGATGTATTTGACTTTGATGTTCACAGCAACACATTTCCTGCTGAACATCTGTGTTCGTCAGGGTTGGGCATCGTTTGATTTTGAACGATTCCGATTCCAATTCCTTGTTTCGATTCCAGTTCTTATCGATTCCCGATTCCGATTCTTTGAAGACATGACATGTGTTACAAGAGCCAGCTAACCACAGGTCCTACTTGATGAACTAATCTTAACTTCAACATGAATTTTAACTCTATGAACAACAACATCACCTTCATGTAGACACAAACATGTTTTGGAGAAAAAAGAAAAAGACTTGCAGCACAACCAGTGTGTTTGTTTCTGACCACAACCAAAGTCTGGAAGCAGCCTCTGGGATGAGAGGCTAAATGTCTCCAACATATCCAGAAACATCCAGCTGTTTCCAGCTAAAGCTCTCAGGATGATCATGTCCAGGATGACTGAGAACTACACCTCCATGCTGCAGCAGCTTTCAGTCACAACAGGAAGTGAAGCTTAACCGTAGCTGCTGTCAGTAACAAGGTAACAGATTTTAACATTAAAACGCAACAGAAATAGTTCAGAAAGGAAATTAAAATGTTCACAGCTTTGTGTGTGATTTATTATTATTATTATTATTATTATTATTATTATTATTTATGGTGGCAGAAGCTGGTGTGGTCCACCACAGAGAAGCTGCTCTAGCATGATGACTTTAATTATTCTACAGGTTATTGTTCAGCCTTCTGACGCTCCGTGTGTGTTGTTATTTCTGCAGTGAGACAAACTCACCTCACACCGTCCAGAGTTTGTTCTTTAAAGCTTCTATTAAATCCACCGTGTTGACGTTTTTAACACGTTTCCTCTACGCTGCAGGAGTTAAAGTTTACATCACGAAGTGAAAGTTCGGCAGACACGTTTATATTTGGCCGGTGCACGCCGGGTGGGGGGAGGGGGACTCGTGCTGCACACAGACAGCTGGTGTGTTCAGCTCTGAAAAGCATTGATCACAATTTGCAGATCACGTTTATTTTTCATGGAGATCGGCCGCAGAGTTCTCTTCCGTCGGCATTCTAGGAATCGAAATAAAAAACGTTGAGCGATTCCAGGAAAAATGAACAGTTGGAACCGGTTCCAATCGATGCGCGATGCCCAACCCTAGTGTGCTTGTACTAAAACAGCGTGATAAAATCATCTGATTTCAAAACTGGTGTGTAGAAAGTAGTTGGGAGATGGTCCTAAGCCTAACCTAAACTGCTGGAGTCATCAACATCTGCCAATGTGAGTCGGTGAAGGTGATGGAAATTCAAATAAAATGTTTGATGAATCTCTTGTAAAGGGTTAGTGTTGATCAGAATGACACACACACACACACACACACACACACACACGATTGATGGAATCCGTCTACAGTTTTCTGATCACAAATATATTTTGAAAACTGACCCCTGCTGGGTTCCACATTAACTAGTGTTTTATTCCTAACCTGATTGTGTTTTTTCACCACAGGAACACGAACAGCTGAGCTACTCGTCGACACGCACCAAGGCCCCGAGTGTGATCGTCTCTGGTTTGAAACCAGCCACCTGGTACGTGTTTAGCGTTCGGACCCGTACGGCAGGAGGACACAGCTCCTACTCACCGAAGTTTGAATACCAAACTACAGGAGACTGTAAGTATCCTTGACAACACAGTTGTGATGTTGTTATGAATAAGTGAGTCATCTTAACGTACAAATGTGAACTTGAACATGAATTTAAGACATACAATCATTGTTTTCATATTTTTAATAATTTTATTGAGCCAGTATGTGCTAAAATGACCCTTTACAGGGTTAATGAGATGCCACTCCCATCCCACCAACACCTGTGACCAGAATTTATCGCACTTGCAACTTCTGAGTGCCGGTCCAGTCCCTGTTAAAGTTGACGCTGCAGTCATAATTCAGCTTGTTTCCTGCATTTTTAGATCACAAACACAGCCAATTTGTTTGTAGTAATGAACGGCTCCTGTAGACACTAATGAAGGCTGAGGAGACTTCTGAGATGTCCACGTTGTGGAGCAAAATGGTTCAAGTGCGTTATTAACTCTTTTTCGATGTATGAACCTAATAAAAGGGTGCGAAAATATTATTTGAATCCAAACCCTGAAAAAGTCTATTGTTCGCTGGGTGACCGACACGGATCTTCTCCGTGGGTGGGGGCGAGGAGTCCCAGATGGTCTTCCACCTTGCTGTCAGAGTCTCTGCCGCTTCCTACTGACCAGTTTTCATCAGCGTTCCCCTCTCCGCCTGAAGCAGCTTAATTTCTCCTGCTTGTTTCAATGAGAATGTTCTTCTAAAAACTGTTTCAGCCACTATTTCACATGCAGTACAAACGGAGAGGGAGCGTGCTGGAAAGCTGGTTGCTTAGCAACGGCGACGTGGTCCGTTATCCGCAGGAAAACATTTACCAACCAGCCATTCCTCTCCATCCCCACACGTTTCTCCTCCTGCTCCCTCACATCATCACACAAACATGCACATAGGACCTTGGAGGGTGGACAAGTCAGGGGGTGCGGGTATGGACCCCATCTCCGCATTCCTGTGGCAACCTGCCCCCCAATTTTATTTGCACCTTAAACACTTCCACCAACGACATTCCACACAAACACACACTTAGGGCCTTGGGAGTGAGCACATTCAACGGCATTTGGCAGGGGGATTTTTCAGCCTCATCCCGAGTGCCGGTGCCCACTTCCAATTTTAAACTGCACTTAGACACCGAGGGCTGTGGGTGCACGTGGGGTGGTGCGGTGGCATCAGCTGGCGTAGGCCAGATGATGCCCACACTGTCCGCTCACCACAGCCATGGAATACACCTCATTAACACACACTAACACCATATTGGAGCAGGCGGAGGGAGACTGGGGGTCTTAGCACACCTCTGTTGTTGCTTGGCTTCCTGGGGCTGGAGGCTAGGAGGGAGATCTGGCCGTCTGGTTGGGTTCTGCTGTGGTGGGTTGCTGTGCTCAGCGTTGGGCGGGGGAGCCTGCTCATCAGCACCCCAGCAGAAAGGGTCAAACTCTGGTAACGGGTGATGGTTGTACCCCATGTGCAGCAGTACCGGGACCAGAGTGAATAGGGTGTGTATGGGGAGCATGAGTGGGTGTCCGGCATGCATTTTTGTAAGTCTTTGGTTGTATGTGTATGTGTGAGCATGAGGGAGGGAGTGTGTGACTGTGTTTGTGTATGACTGTATATGTCAGGTGGGACTTTTGACTGCTCCCCTCTACTGGGACTTCTTTTGATGATATAGATCTTCATCCCCCTCCCCCTGCCACACCTGGTGTGGGGTGTGGTGCCTTGGTCTGCCTGAGTGTTCGTGGCTCCCAGGTCAGGGGGTTTAAGATTTTTGGCATCTGCCTGATCAATCCTGGTGGCTGTCTGGTGGGATCTGGGTCCCTGGGCTCTGCTGGGTCCCCGGCAGGGTGGTCGCCCCTGGGTCCCGGGTTGCTGGGTCCCGGGCTCGGCCGGCTGGGGGGTGGGAGGCTGTGGGTGGGCCTGTGGGCTTGCCGCTGATGTCTCCTGGGATTCTGCTGGCTGCTGGTTGTGGCCCCCCGGGGCGATCCTCTGCACCTCTCGAGGGGGGCAGGGGCTTTTCTGGTCGTGGTCACCTTGGGGTCCCTATGCTCTGGGGCATTTCCTGGATCTCTGGGACTTGGAGCTCCCTCCATCTCCTACACATCTTTGGGGGGCAGATCGGTGGCCCCTCACACTCTCTATTGGACGCTCCTATAGAGAAACCTTACATAAACAAGCGCGTGTACGCACACACAGGTGCTCACATGGTGCTCTCATAAGTATGGACTTGGGCATGTTCAACACATGTCTTAAGACTGTGGTTGGCACTAAATGCACTGTGATTTATTATCGTGTGATTGTTCAGTTAAACAATGTTGATTATATATTTCTTCATCAGGTTGACGCAGTGATAGCTTGCTCCTGTTGTATTGCTGTGTGTCCTATTTCAACAGGTCTAAAAGCAGAACCCTGTTCATCAATTATTGCTTATTTTTGTGCCCCCCCCACCCCCACCACCCCACCCCCACCTTTTGAGTCTTCCTTTCTCTTTCACCTCTGTCTCCATGTCCCGTCGAAATTAGAAAATATTCAAAAAACAATAACAATAAAGTTTTAGGTATCAAGAGTGACATAAAAAGCACACGCTTTGATGCTCCACCTGAGACATTAATTCAGACATTAATTCTGTTTGCTTCACAGCCAGACAGGACACGGGAAAGAGAAAAAAAATAAAAATAAAGGAAAACTGTTACTATATAAACAATAAAGCCATCAAATTGACAGCTTGTGGGAGACAAAGCCAAAAACAGCTATATTTATTTTTTGATACACTATTTTATGGAAATTATGAAGCAAAAATAAAGGATACATAAAATTAGGAGAAGCCAGGACATGAGATCCATCTAAGTAAAGTTATCACAAATCAAAATATGAAAACAGTCAAAATGACTTACTTGGGAGTTCTAGTGTTCTTGCTGTTTTGGCTGGAATTTGGTACATTTTATTTATTAATGAAATCAAAGTTAATTAAAGGTAATTCAGAGTTAAACAGTGCAGAAATGTTGTTTTAAAAATGTAAATAAATCATAAGTCTAACAGTTTTATTGGAATCTTGACTTTATTTTCTTTTACTATCCAAGGAAGTAAATCAGCAGTTGGAGATACTTGCTATAAAAAGCTGTTCAGGGTGAAATGGAGTTCTCGTAGCCTGGAGGAGCACCCGGGGCGTCCTGCATCAAGGACACATCCGCTCATAACAAACCGGAACTGTGGTGGTGAAGCACAAACTTCCAGCAGCAGCTCAAGCAAATGAGGAAAAATAAGCAGCATAAATGTAACTCGGTCACGGTAGAGTTTAAGATTCTGGTTTCAATGCAGCAAATAAGACGTCAGGCCTCTTTATTAGTGCACACACACACATACGGTTACAGTAGTGTACGCTTACAAAGAGATGCAACCAAATCAACAAATGCCTCAAAACTCTGTTTTGAACTTGAATATCATACGTCAATCGCATTGACTGAGCTGACAGTTTGAAGAAAAATGACTTAAACTAGATTTTACTATAAAGTGATGATACTGTTTTGTTTAGCAATGTGCTAAAAAACAGGTTTTATTCAGACCTAAACCTCCTGCTGAGGTTGATTTGCAGTCAGAACCTGAGACGTTTCTGCAGCTTCAATTTGATTTATCCTAACCTCCACTTCAGTGAGGAAATCTGATAAAACTCCTTGGCTGCTTTCGAACCAGTGCCTTCTTGTTTTTGTCAATAGTTTCCCTTTTGCATAGTCATAAAACACAAAAGTCCAGCTGCCCTTTTATATCGGGTCAGGTTTTATTGAGAGGTGACTTGGCTGCTCCGTGGTGCCTCTGCCTTCCAAGAGCTGCAGAGCTGGGCTTTATCTGCAGATCAGAGGCTGCTCAGCCAAGCCTTTGTGCTGCCTGGACTTTTATCTGAAAGAGGAGCCAGATTTGGCTCCTGCTGCTCTCCTCCTCTGTCAGTCTGTCGGTCCACCTGTCAGTCACCGTCAGCGCAATCGCTTCTGTTTCTGCCACTTCGGTCTGAGGCTTTCTCTCTTTTGTCTTTGGCTTGTCATTTGTTTCCTCATCCGCCGCCTCCCGGCTTTTCCTGCACACACACACACACACACACACACCTCATTTCAACAGTGTCAATCTAACACATCTGCTTAGATGTGAGAAATGTGTTAAACTGAAAAACTGTCATGTGACATCTGGAAGACCTGAGTGCTGTGTAATTATTTTTATTAAGCAAAGAACACACACACACACACACCATTCAGCAGGCCCACCACCATGCACCACGATCTCCAATTCATATTCGTTAAGCATGAAATATAATAGAAATAAGTTTAGTAATAGCAATCATCTTTCAATTATCTGGGATTCGTTAGCCTTGTGACAAGACACAGAAAAGGAAAGTCATGAATAACAAATGAGCCCAGTTTCACCAAATGAGCATGGACTAAATCACAATTTCATGAATGAATAAAATTAATTAAACAGCAGCAGGCGTATCAATCATCAGCTCCAACGCTGACGGGTCCTACAAAGAGCTGATCAGACACCTCTCACTAATATCTGCCCATCAGGCCAACTTAGTTTATTTTTGGTGCTTATTATTTCAGATGATGTGAAAAAAGAAAATCTTTTCTGCAATTTTAAATATTTTCTCCACCTTTAGCCTCAGACATGGCTCCGGACCAGGGCCAGGTGCTGGTGATCGCCACTGCTTCAGTCGGGGGTTTCACCCTCCTCATCATCCTCACCCTCTTCCTCCTCATCACTGGACGGTAGGAAGAATCCCTTTGCTGTTAACTGTGCTGGATACACTGTAAACCCGAATGTTAAACATAATCAACTAAACTCTGTTATAAAAACTTTTTTACAACTCAAACATGATCTTAATAAAACTGGTGATAAAAGGAATGATCAAAAGAGTTATCAATATTTGTTTTAATAAATGTGTTCAAATACCAAACAACTAAATGACATTAACATGGTAACAGTAGAAGGCCTCTCTTCCAGGAGGACCACCAGGTAAAGCCTCTCCTGATCCTGGACACCTGCAGTCCTAGACAGAGAAATCAGAGACCGCAAAAACACATTTTTACATTTATCCACATCAGAAGATAAAATTTATATCCTTCACACAAACTATTTCTAATATTTGTTTAAAAACGTGTCAGCTGTGTAAATCCCTGAATGTAAAACTACTTTTCACAGCAGAACTACTGTGGTCATGTGTAGACAGCTTCACTCTTCACCTCTAAGCTTATTAAAAACACTTCTATGTTCTGTCGTCGATAAAAAAAATTACAAGTTTAATTCACCACACACACACACACACACACACACACAAACGGTAATAACTACGGGACCTGCAATACAAACTCGTTCTGGCTGATTTCTGCTTAAAATGTAATTTAAAAAACAAATATGCAAACAAAAAATGTCTGTAAACAGAACCGCTTTAAGCTTTTTAGGTTTCTACCGCTAGTTTTTAAACAAACTTACGTTTAAAACTTCGTAGCTCTCCCCATTTTCTTTTCCTGTTGAAAATCCACAGCCGCCATGCAAAGCATGCTGGGATAGCCTTGTTCTGTGAGGATACAACAGACCCGTCCTCGAAATGTGGGTGGAGCGAGGACGCAAGAATGAGTATTCTTGGAATTCGGACAGTACTCGTCGCTGCACTGTGACGTCATAGACCTCAAAATGCATCCTTACAAGCATCCTACCTCTGGATTCTGACACACCCTAAGAGCCAATTTTATTTTTCTTCAGCTTTGGTTAAATTCTGTCCACGTGTATTTACTTGGAGCTTGACCTTTAAAAATTATTCAGTCTGTGTTTCGTCCATCTACTTAGCGGGTTATGTCTTTTGTGGAGTTAACACAGATTGGAAGTTGCATTTTTAGCTTTCTTTTGGACTTTGGATCCACATCATAGAGACGGTAGCGTCTCATCGCTCACAGTTCTTTGTTTTAGGACTGATGCTTGTTGAATGTGTGTGTAGTCATCACTCTAACTCAATTAATAGATAAACTCCTGATTTACTGTAAAAAAGTTGTTAAATGTCTTTTAAATATCACAAATAAAACCTAACCTTGAATTATGCTTCAGTTCTATGAAACAAAACAAATAAACCAAGACAGTGTTGGGATGAGATTTGCACATTTATTTAGAAACGATGTGTGGGAAGGTGTAGAGCTACTCTTCTGTGTTGTGGCTTCAAATCATCCTCACTCAAATCTGCAGTCAGACACCAGTTTCCACATCAAAACCCTCATCAGTGTCGTTGTGCTGAGTCTGAATTCACGTACATTTACAGAATTGGAGGGATGGGGGCAGAAGTACCTCTTAAATAGTGCTGAAGGTGCTTAGAACACACACACTTGGGCCAATACTTTTCTACATTGTATGTGGAAACGTGTGATGGTGTGAATCTGCTTAAGGATTATTTTAGACGTGCGAACATGAGAATGAGTCATTCTTCTGAGCATTTTCAGGACAAACATGTTTCTTTGTTACTTTAAAATGAAAACTCTTTCAAATCTATAATATACAGGTTTCATCTACTGATGCAGCAATGCAAGTCTGCTATTGAACTGCAATAACAATAACTGAGAAATTTCAATGTGAGTTCAATGAAACCCAATAAAAGATCCCACAACTAAATAAAGCATCACCAATCCTTTTACTTTTGAGGGACGATACACCTCCAAGTCCCAAACGTAGAGCCAGCAGCACTGAGACAACACCACAGTGAAATGAATCCTAGCAGCTTTCTTCCTCATAATCACAAGAAACTTGATGCTCCATACCTTTACCAAACACCTGAACTTCCACCACCGGGCTGCTGAACTCATTACTGTCATAATATGCAGAACATGGACTCACCATCACGGCAGTAATATTCTATCAGGGACATCATGAGACGCTGCTCTTTCATTTTCTCTGAAGATAAAGAATAATCAGAAAAATGTCAATCAAACTTCTGAAGAAATCTAATCATGCGAAGTATGAAAAACACCTGCAGAGGTGGTGAACGGATGTCTGTGGTGTCTGGGACGCACTCCAGACTAGCTTAGAGTCATTTTAAATGAGACAAATTCACATGTCTGTCATGTGAGCATCTAAATACAGCAAGATAATATAAAATTGATATTAGTTTCTTTAAAGTAGCTGCTTAAGGTTTAGAGAAAACTACCATTTAGCTCCCTCTGTGCCGTATTGTAGCTGAGAGTCCTGGTTTCTTTGGGTCAGAGGTGTACGGACAATATGCTCAACAACCTCGTTCTGTACTGCATCAGATCTGCAGCTGACTGCACTCGTGTTTACCTGCTTCTCTCAAATAACAAAAAATCAAACACTGCCTGTTCATTTTAGGTCTGCACAGCTCACAAATGATGTTTTTTAACCCTAACCCTTCATCACGTAATCCATAGCAGCAACTAACATTTTACTTGACATGCATGTTGAAGTCCACACCCTTACATCTAAACTTGGGGAAAAAATCCCCAAGTTAAGAAGATTTTCTCTTCGTATGATAAAAATTTGTGGGTTTGCAAAAAAAAAAACAAACACAAAAAAACCCTTAAAAGTTTCAGAGGGAGGTTTTATTTTACAATTGAAAACTGTTCTATTGTAGAATATGAAACTTTGTTTGGGGCTCAAAATGTCCCAGGAATGACAGATTAGACAAACAAGAGACAAAGTTACAAGAAGCATTTCTATGGATCTATCTGGCATTCACTCGTTGTCTGGATATTCCCGGTACATCCTGGAACGTAGGTCGTGCTCCCACATTCTTCTTTGTTGTTTCCTCTCGTCCGACAAGGGTCTGAGCAGCTCAGGCTAGCATTGGCAGTAGCTCAGGCTAGCATTAGCAGCAGCTCAGGCTGGCATTAGCAGCAGCTCAGGCTAGCATTAGCCATAGCTCAGACTAGGGGCTGTATCAATGTCATCTAGTCGACTTCACTGCTCTGTAGTGAATTTTTATGCCTGTCATCGACTAGTCGCTGTCACGTGATAATGACCGACAAGAGGGAGTCTTCAGAAATGACAGCAGGTGACGATCCCCTGCGCATCGGGAGGTGACCCGCTGTGCCAGAGCGTCGGTACTGACGCCCACCGTAAAATGGACATTTGACCGAATTGTGACCTTTACCCTCTTGCAATTTGACCTTCCCCTCACCCCATCCTAACCTTAACCAGCTTGCACATGCAAAGCTCTGATTGTTGACGTGCTCCAGACATCTGCGTCCTGAGCACGGCCACAGTAACATTATCAAATCAGGTGTCGCCACCTCAAAAACTAATTTAATATGCAATTGTTGATGTCTGCTGATTTCCTTTTATGTTTTCCGTTTTTTATTTGTGCCTGATGCGTTTTGCTGCTGTGGATCGGAGCGCATCACCTGTTTTGTCCTCCGGTGACACACCTCACCGGTGCGGCCAGTGCGCAGTGAGCACTCCGCTGTTTTTGCGGTCGGTAGATCTTTTAGAACTACAGTTCAAAGGTAACTCATGAGGTGAATATATATGAACCCAGGTAGCAGTTTCTCTTTAGGACTGAGAGGAGATGCAGGAAGATAATAAACAGGCAGGACAGAAAAATAGTCAAATAAAAACAAGTTAGTTTTTGTACCTGCTGGTTGCAACAAACAGACACCATTGAAGGTAATCAGAAGTGAGGAACAGAAAATGAAATAATTATTTTAATGTTTAGAGCAGCAGGAACTCCGAGAGGCTGCAGGTGCATTAGTGAGTTTGCGGCGCTGCGCAGGGGGAGGGGGGGAGGGCTGAAGCAGGGGGAGGGGGGAGAGGGCTGAAGCAGAAACTACCGCTGTTAAAAGAAATGTGTTTAACTTTGAAAATGAGGGCGCAATTTTAATTGTCAAAAACTCCAGCGAACCAACCGACACCACCCACCACCCCGCCGCTTCAGGTGTATGACGTCATCAACGACTCGTCAAGTCGACTCGATTTTCATTAGTTGACTGTCGACTTTTAAATAAATTAAGTCATGCAGCCCCTAGCTCTGACTAGCATTGTTCACTGGTTAGCATTACCATGACCAGCATTTACATGTTGCCGGCACTGAAGCGGGTTGTGACATGCAGGTTTAAGGAGGTGTGTCTGAGCTTATGTTGTGTTAAAGGAACCAAATGTAAGAATTTACAGTGAAATTAACCTAAAACTGTCAAGTCTCAATCAGGAAAGTTATGTTGAAACAGATTTCCTTCTCTGTCGACTGGGGGTTTGGGTTTTTCTCTTTCTAAATGAGGGACACGTTTCCGGTTCTGAGCCCGTGGGTCATGTGCCAAGTTCCAAGTGCCAGGCTTAAAATACATTTATTTAAAATTGCCTACTCTGGGTAAGGACTCCTGTGTTTTCCAGTAGTTTCATTGTAATTGTTAATTTAATAGATTCATTGGGTCTTTTTAGTGTAGTTTTACTGGACCTTCATGACTTTTGGTTGTGGTATTCTGGTGGTTTTATGAAGGTTGTTTTAATTCCTTGGTTTTATTGTGTCTCATTGTTGTTTTTTGCTATGAATTTTAATTGTACGATGACCTTTGTCGTGTGTTCGTGCGTAAGGATTCAGTCGACATGTTGTAGAGCTTCTTAGCTTCCAGCTTTAATCATTTTCCGTTTGTTCCCAAAACCCCTTCCGGGTTGAACCCTTTTCACAATAAAACCGGTTACAATACATTGAACCCACCACATCCCCCTTTCTTCAAGAACAAGACAAAATTAAGAGAAGATTTGTTATCATTAGGGAAAC